GTCGAGGGAGAGTTCCGTCAGCACGACGGCGTGGTGACGATGATGATGTTCTATCATCGCAAGGCTTCGCCTAAGCACCGCTACGATATTATGGAGGAGGACTATGGTGGAGGGGGGCACCGCACACGGCTAAGGGATCAATGATCAATTGTTGTATCTATGGGGTGCCCCCTCCCCCATATATAAAGGAGTGGAGGAGGGGGCCGGCCAAGGGGGGTGGCGCGCCCTAGGGGGGAGTCCAACTCCCGCCAGGCGTAGGACTCCCCCCTTTCCTATTAGGAGAGGGAGAGGGAAGGAAGAGGAAGGAGGGAGGAAGGAAAGGGGGGACGGCCCCCCTCCCAATTCGGAGAGGGCTTGGGGGTGCCCCTCCCTTGCTCCTTTCCCCTCCTTTCCACTAAGGCCCATTAAGGCCCATATACCTCCCGGGGGGTTCCGATAACCTCCCGGAGCTCCGGTATTGTCCCAATCTCACCTGGAACCTTTCCGGTGTCCAAATATAGTCGTCCAATATATCGATCTTCATGTCTCGAGCATTTCAAGACTCCTCGCCATGTTCGTGATCACATCCGGGACTCCAAACAACCTCCGGTACATCAAAACACATAAACTCATAATATAACTGTCATCTTACTTTAAGTGTGTGGACCCTACGAGTTCGAGAATTATGTAGACATGACCGAGACATGTCTCCAGTCAATAACCAATAGCGGAACCTGGATGCTCATATTGGCTCCTACATATTCTACGAAGATCTTTATCGGTCAAACCGCACAATAACATACGTTGTTCCCTTTGTCATCGGTATGTTACTTGCCCGAGATTCGATCGTCAGTATCTCAATACCTAGTTCAATCTCATTACCGGCAAGTCTCTTTACTCATTACGTAATGCATCATCTCGTAACTAACTCATTAGCTACATTGCTTGCAAGGCTTATAGTGATGTGCATTACCAAGAGGGCCCAGAGATACCTCTCCGATAATCGGAGTGACAAATCCTAATCTCGAAATACGTCAACTCAACAAGTACCTTTTGAGACACCTGTAGAGCACCTTTATAATCACCCAATTATGTTGTGACGTTTGGTAGCACACAAAGTGTTCCTCCGGTAAGCGGGAGTTACATAATCTCATAGTTACAGGAACGTGTTTAAGTCATGAAGAAAGCAATAGCAACTAAACGATCAAGTGCTAAGTTAACGGAATGGGTCAAGTCAATCACATCATTCTCCTAATGATGTGATCCCGTTAATCAAATGACAACTCATGTCTATGGTTAGGAAACTTAACCATCTTTGATTAACGAGCTAGTCAAGTAGAGGCATACTAGTGACACTATGTTTGTCTATGTATTCACACATGTATTATGTTTCCAGTTAATACAATTCTAGTATGAATAATAAACATTTATCATGAAATAAGGAAATAAATAATAACTTTATTATTGCCTCTAGGGCATATTTCCTTCATTAAGTACATCAACCTCCTCTCCAAATGATGGGACTTTAGCCAACTTTTCTCCAATCCAGCATGAAGTTCCTCAAATGCACGAGCAACACAATCTGTGGGAGGGGGATCAATCCAAACCACCCAGTCGCATTCATCAGGGAGTTGCAGAATTAATCTTACATTATACAACAAAAAGTTGGCAAATAATGACAGCAAAATGAGAGGACAGAGAGAGCGGGAATGAGAGTTAATCTTACATCTAGGGGGCAGCCTAAGAATCTTCTTCCCGTGCTTGCACCTCCCCAGGCGACGCGACGAGCGGGGATGAGACCGTGCCCTGTGCATCGCCGCGTCGTGCTCATCTCCACCCCAGAGAATGGCGGATGGGGAGGTAGAACTCGGATTGAAACTGAACAATCCCAACACCATCGACCTAAACGCAGGAAATCCCCAATCTGATGAACCCTAATTGGGACAGAAATCCCCCCAGATCGATCCATCGACGAGCCACACTTACCTCGCAAGCCACCGACGAGCTCGACGTGGACATGCCGCCGCCCTCCAAATCGACCACCGTCGGCCTCTGAATCCTGCCGCGGTCGCTCTCTCCCCTCTCCAAATTGAGCCGTCAAGAGGTTGAAGAAGAACAGAGAGAGTGTGAAGCAAAGAGGTAAGAGAGGGCCCACATGTAAGAAAAAGGGGCAAATATGTCAACCTGACGGCAAGTTAGCGGTCAAACAACCTTGACTGGACGAAAACGGAGCGGGGGGGGGGGCATTTCTATAAGTGGCACTGACGGCAGAGGGGCAAAACTGAGCATACCCGAAAACTAGGGGCAAAACTGAGTAGTGGGTTCGAGTTAGGGGCAGAACTGGAATTGGCCCTTTTTATAATGTTTAGCTCAATCATTATGTTCGACCTTAGTTTGAATTGAATGAAAAGATGTCCCAAATCTGGGCCTCATATACGCTTTTTGTGCTGGTGCAGCTATTTATAATCTTCGGATTGAATGCCTTGTCGGATTCCACAAAGTGGAACCACATGCTTTGTCTAGGGGCTGCATACAATCCAAACATAATGAACGTTGAAGCACTCTCCTCTAACATAAAACCACTATATGCATCAATTTTGACTTGTGTCTTGGGTCAAAAGTTGGATTGCCTGGCCCCTATGTTTACCCCTTACGTTTTTGCACGTTTGGCTAAGGGTGTACCGGGAGCACCTCTATGATTGTTACCTTTGGTTAAACCGGTAAGTATCTCATGTGGGAGAAGTGGAAAGTTGACTATCACAAAATGCGCAAACTCGATTGGTGGGTTAGAACTATAAAAGCTAAAACCATAAAGGTTGTCTATGTGAAACAAAGGAATTTTCGATAAGAGGCTTGCTTTCATAACGGTGCTCGTTGGGGCACAATAGAGAAGCAGCTCGGTTATCGCAATCGCGATTAACTAACCGGGATTGGAAGGACCTCGGCCTAGAAGTACCTTACCCGGGGGCTATTTACTCGCTCAGACATGCTCTCTGACAAGCGTAAGTTTAAGACCTATAGTTGGGTTGCCTGATTTTTTTTATATAGTCGCCTCCTGGCACCAAGACATCGGATAAGGCTATATATCGCAAAGCACTCTAGGAAATCCCCTTAGAGGTGGAAGCCGAAGACTACGCGGTTAAACATCAAGGCCGAGTCAAAAATAAGAATTTTGAGGAAAAGCAAACTCGATTTGCCTAGTAAAAACAATATAAACAAAGTAGCGTGTCAAACTTAAATGTTTATATATACTTCTTCTCAGCTTGCCAAGTGTTCACTGCTAATGGATTTAATCTATAATTTTCTTCTGGCGGCAGTCTTGCATCACCCAAGCCTGACGAGCGCCTTCCCAAGCTTTTGATGCCTTCCATATCTCTATCCATGCTAGCATCTCGAGGTGATCGATTGGTCCCACAGAGCCAGCCTGGGGGCTGTTAAAGCAAAAATTTCCATGACGACATGTCGCAGGCGACCGATGGGTCCCGCAGAGCTGTCTTGGGGGTTGTTAAAGCAATAAACTCCCCATGCCGACATCTTACAGGTGAGCGACGGGTACCCCAGAACTAGCCTGGGACTGTTAAAGCAAAAATTTCCAGGCCGACATCTCACAGGCGACTGACGGGTCCTGCAGAACTGGCTTGGGGGTTGTTCAAGCCCACACCGCTGACGGTTAAATTATTTCCACGCCAGCGTCTCACGGGTCGACCGAAGGCTCCCGCAGAACCATCCTGGGTTGTTTTGAGTTATAATTTTGCTCAAGAAAGATCTTGTCCAACCCGTTGTTCGACATCTTGTTTGCCGAGCTGCACCTCAGTAACGGCAAAACACACACGCTGGTATTTGGCTGAGCTAGTTCTCGAGGAGATTCGATCCTAGGGTCGGCCATGTTGCCCAAGCCATGTCTTGGGGGCTACTGCATCGACGATTTAATGCAGACAATTTAAAGTGCAACATGGTTTTTGAGGATATTACAATCCTCATGTCGGTCGGCCGCATCTAATCTGAGTCTCGGGGGCACCTGTGCAACGTGATTTTTTTCCCTAAAGTATGTTGTCAAGCAAGGATTCGATCCTCAGGTCAATTTGCGGAATTGACCTAAGTCTCGGGGGCTACTGGGATTAGCGGTATTCTTGTATCCTTCAGGTGCATAGTAGACTTTAGGCAGACATACACCTTGAGGGGTACTAGTATATCTCGACGGAGAATAAGTTGCACTAATCAGAAGTATTCGCGAAAAAGATGTGCATGCATGCATCCAGGTTTCCATGAGAAGTGGAGTCTTTTTTTAATGTTGACAGGAGAGCTGACAAATTTATTCATTTGAAAAAGCATTACAAGAACACCCCCAAAGAACAAACACACCACATAAAAGCGAGTGCCAAAAAAGAAGAAAGGAAACAGGGTTGCCCGGTTTATTGAGGAAAACCAAAAAAAAAAAACCGTCTAGCTAGACTAGGCCTAAAGCACCACAAAAGGTAAGAAGGGAAGTCTTAAATATCTTATCAAACCATTTGTACCACGTGAGAAAAGTATAAAGGTGAAGTGATTCTGCTAGATAAATCAATCAAATAAAACATGTGCACATTTTCTTATCCAGTTATAGACCAGTACGGTTAGAAGCGTAGAACTCCGTTTGTCATGGAACTAATTAGCTCTGATCACAAGTTCGAGTAGTTCGAGGTATATCTATCCATCTAATATACTCCCTTCGTCTTAAGATAAGTGTCTCAACTTTAGTATATTAGTAAGGTCACAGTCAAAAGAATATATACTAGCAAGGTAAACTTGCAATCCAAACAAGATCAATCTCATCGCCCTCGTCCGGCCCTGCATTGATCGATCGGGCTAACTGTCGCTGTACTCAGACTTGCAATGCAACCCTGGAGGGAATAAGATCATTACATGGCCCCTGCAAAAAATATGCTCTGCTTCCCTTCTACTCTTCCCAAAATTTTAAATTCCCTCACTCCACTCTCAACCTTTTAAATTCTCCACGAGCGCGCCATGCGCAAGCACACTGCATGCCCCTCCACTCTCGATCGACCATGGCCGAGCACTTCGCACAAGTTCTCCTCCTCTTCCTCCTGCTAGCCATCACTTCCCTTCCGATCTCCATGGCTTCGCTTCACAATCTCCGTCTCTCAGCCTCCGAAGTTGCCGCGATCGAGGAGCGCGCGCCGCCTCCGCCGGACCAGCCCACCACCTTCTTCGAGGTGGACCGGCCGCACCGGCCACCGCCGGGCAGCTTCGGCCCATGCTCGACCGTGCTTCTCTCACACTCCTTCGCTTACACCTACACCAAGCCCCCGGTCACGGCCGCCTACTCCCCGCCGCCGTGCCTCGCCGCCGCGGGCGGGCACGCCTCGCTGATCTCCCTTGCCGTTCTTGAGTGGCGAGCCGCCTGCCGGGGCGTCCAGTACGATCGCATCTTCGGAGTCTGGCTCGGCGGCGCCGAGCTCCTCCGCGGCTGCACGGCTGAGCCACGAAGAAACGGCATCGAGTGGTCCGTGTCCAAAGATATCACCAAGTACGCGTCCCTCCTCGCCGCCCGCAACCCCTCCACCCTCGCCGTATACCTCGGCAATGTCGTCGACGAGCAGTACACCGGCGTGTACCACGCCAACCTCACGCTACACCTCTACTTCCGCCACCCGCCGCAGCCTCCGCAGCCCGGGCTGGGTCCCGCCGACGTCATCGTCCCCGTCTCGCGGAGCCTCCCTTTGAACGACGGCCTATGGTTCCAGATCCAGAACGGCGAGGACGTTGGGTCAGCGAGCCTCGCCGTGCCGACCAACGCCTACCGTGCCGTCCTCGAGGTGTACCTCTCGTACCACGCCCACGATGAGTTCTGGTACACCAACACGATCGGCAGCAACGGCCCCTTCCGCGAGGTCACCGTCAGCATCGACGGGGATCTCGTCGGCGCCGTCTGGCCGTTCCCGGTCATCTACACCGGCGGCATTAACCCCCTCCTCTGGCGCCCGATCACGGGGATCGGCTCGTTCAATCTCCCGTCTTACGATATCGAGATCACGCCTTTCTTGGAAAAATTGTTGGACGGCAAGGCGCACGAGTTTGGCCTGTCAGTGACCAACGCCAAGGACGCGTGGTTCATCGACGCCAACCTACACCTCTGGCTGGACCCCAGGGGAGCGCCGACGACAGCGAGCACCACCAGCTACGACGCGCCACCGCTGGACAGTACCACAGCGTTCCGGCCCGACGGCCCCGGCACCGAGTTCTACTACACGACGGCGTTCCGGCGCATCTCTGCCACGGGGTGGGTGCAAACGCCGTCCTACGGCAAGATCACGGCAACGTGGACGCAGAGGCTCAGCTACGACAACACGAACGAGGTCGAGGGCGACAGCCAGCAGGTGGTGAACCAGACGACCGAAGCGTACTCCGGCGTGCACGTCACGGACCGCGGCGGCATCGCGTACTCGCAAGAGGCGCAACAGAGCTTCCGGCTCGACGTGTTCGTGGGCGTGGTGAACGAGGCGTTCAACGGCTCGTACACGGTGGCGAGAGACGTCCGGCTGGGGTTCGCCGAGGAGAGGGTCGCCGCCGGCCGCGCGGGGTTCTTCTGGTCTCGGTCGCTGAGCAACGCGCAGGAGTGCGCTGTGAACGTGGACGTGGACGACGAAGGGGACGTGGTCGGGGTGTCGTCGGGCACGAGGCAGAACTACAGGTACGAGGCGACCGACGGGTGCTACTCCCGGGACGTGGCCAGCAGCGGTTATGGCATAGTCTCAGACCGCTCCGACGAGGTTTGCGTGAAGGGGTCGTTTCCTTCCGGTGTCGGCGCCGTGGCATCGCCGGCTTTGGCGCGTCGGACGAGCTCGTGACAAGCCGATCCAATGGTCAGCTGGACTATTCTAGTGTAAAACAATGCCAATGTGATGCATACTTTATACGACTGCTATACAATAATCAGAATGACAATCTCCAAAATGAAAAACAGAAAGAAGTTATAACAATAATAAAAGACTAAACGAGATGCACCCTTCATGATTTTGCTTGGGAGTGCCTAGAACTCATCAGATGAGATATAATTTGGTCTCATTCACCTGAAAAACAAAAATATATATAAAGAAGTACCAACCCACGTCAGCACACACACGTCTTATAGCATCACATCCAATGGTTATAAAGGTGAATGAGACATAACTAGAACTTGGCTAGATGAGTTCTAGCAAAATCGTTTTGGTTTCTCATATTTTGGGACCGATGGGTAGAACCACATGGTTGTACCCGAGCCCACGACGGATCACACCAGAAGTTTGTTAGTTGTGTGTCTCGTACAGGCGGAACCACATGGTTGTACCCGAGCCCATAACGGATCACACCAGAAGTTTGGTAGTTGTGTGTCTCGTACAGGCGGAGTATTCTTTCAGTTAGAGGCAATATTTCGTTGATAACGAAGCTCTTATGATGATTTTATCAATCTTAAGATCAATGATCAGCTTTTTGGAGGTGCTAATAGGAGTAGAATATGCGTGCGTCGAGTTGATTCGGGCGCAAGATCCCAACTGATCGATCTACTCTTCTCTTATGAAGGAAATCAGACACCTCATTCTTGAGTATATGATTATTAGGAAGTATATGATAGACTAGGATTTGGTCATGCCTTGTCTTGTATCCCACGAGGCTCAAGTAGTACAATCAACTATTTCACCAATCCCTCTATCCCTTCTAACATGGTATCAGCCTAACCGATCCAACTCTAGCCGTTGCCTGCCGCTCCGCCTCACGCGCCGCCCCCAGGACGGTCGGCCTCCATGACCGCCGCTGGGGACCGCGCCGCCCGTACCTAGGGTCCATCCGCCGGTTGTGTTGACCGCCTGCCCTAGCGAGTTTTTTCCCGAGTCCTTGCTCCAGGTTTTTTTTCTCTTTTGCCGGTCGTTTTGATCGGTGCTTTCTTTTTGGTTTTTCGATCTAAGATCGCCTGGCATCGCACGCCACCGTCATTGACCTCCGCGCGCCTCTGGTACGACTTTGACATCGACTACACCGATGTCTTCTCTGACTCGGCGGCCCGAAAAGGCCGTCGTCCGCGCATCCGCCAGCCGTCACCGCCATGATCTGATCGAGACATCTGCATCCACTTCACCTCATCCACGGCACGGCTGCCCCAGCTTCGTGCATGCACCACGTGACGTGCAACGGCAGCGCATGCGCTGCCTTGGACGTCCCCTACCGTGTGCCATGCAAGCGTTGTTGGCTCTAGTGTGGCCCGCCGCTTGCCCCGGACCACACGTCCGTACAGGTCTTAGTTGCAAGTTGTGTTCCATGTAGGCATGCCGCTTAAGGCATGTACAATGGTGCTATCTTAGGAGCGTCAAGTAGGATAAATGATGAGGTGGAGGAGAGGGACCTCATAAGCAAAGGCTTGTCTTCTCTTATTTAAGAGAAGACAAGAGATGGTCTCTTAGCATAATATGTCTCACCATGTTTTTAGGAATAACTAGTTACTGAAGATAAGGCTAAGAGATGACCCATTATAGAGATTTTTCTTGTCATCTCTAAATTACATGCAAGACTTAAGATAAGAGTATCTTATCAACCATTGTACATATGCCCTTATGTGGTTGTACGTTTCCAATCGGCCTTCATATATGGTATGTGTTCGGGTCGGTTGCATGCTCCTACTACGTCAGTCCGCAGCTGCATATGGTGGTCGCTCGTGTTCCCGCGTTCAGTCGTACTTATCACGCTGAGCAGTGTTCCCGAATTTGTGTGGTCACATTGATCACCTGTCTACCGCTCCGCTTCATTAGCGTCATGCGACCGACCAGACTCGTCGCTTGCGCGCGCCTTCACAGGTCCCGTGAAAAGCGTCCTTCAGCTCGCCCCTCCAGCGATCGAGGAACGGGCTGCCACTGCGTCGCCTCGTCGGGCCGCAGTGCCGCCGCCCCGTGGTTCTTGCTACTTCTTGAGCTTGTGTTGGTTTTTCCCTTGGAGAGGAAATGGTGATGCAGCAAAGTATAAGTATTTTCCTCAGTTTGAGAACCAAGGTATCAATCCAGTAGGAGACAACGCACAAATCACCGAGTACCTGCACAAATAATCAAACAAACTTGCACCCAACGCAATAAAGGGATTGTCAATCCCTTCATGGTTACTTGCAAAAGTGAGATCTGATAGAGATAGATAAATGATAAAGTAAATATTTTTGGTATTTTTGGTTTATAGATCAAAAAGTATAAGATTGCAAGAATAGTAGATTGGAAACTAAGATTGTAGATCGGAAACTTGTATGATGGAAAATAGACTCAGGGGCCATAGGTTTCACTAGAGGCTTCTCTCAAGATAGAAAATAATATGGTGGGTGAACAAATTACTGCCGAGCAATTGATAGAAAAGCGCAAAGTTATGACGGTATCTAAGGCAATGATCATGAATATAGGCATCACGTCCGTATCAAGTAGACTGACTCCTGCCTGCATCTACTACTATTACTCCACACATCGACCGATATCCAGCATGCATCTAGAGTATTAAGTTCATAAAGAACGGAGTAATGCATTAAGTAAGATGACATGATGTAGAGGAATTAACTCAAGCAATATGATGAAAACCCCATCTTTTTATCCTCGATGGCAACAATACAATACGTGCCTTGCCGCCCCTACTGTCACTAGGAAAGGACACCGCAAGATTGAACCCAAAGCTAAGCACTTCTCCCATTGCAATAAAAACCAATTTAGTTGGCCAAACCAAACCGATAGTTCGAGGAGACTTGCAAAGATGTCAAATCATGCATATAAGAATTCAGAGAAGATTCAAATAATACTCATAGATAAGCTGATCATAAATCCACAATTCATCGGATCTCGGCAAACACACCGCAAAAAAGTATTACGTCGAATAGGTCTCTAAGAACATCGAGGAGAACATTGTATTGAGAATCAAAGAGAGAGAAGAAGTCATCTAGCTACTAGCTGTGGACCCGTAGGTCTGTGGTAAACTACTCACGCTTCATCGGAAGGGCAATGGTGTTGATGTAGAAGCCCTCCATGGCCGAATCCCCCTCTGGCAGGACGCCGGAAATGGTCCCTAGATGGGATCTCATGGGTACAGAAGGTTGCGGTGGTGGAAAAGTGTTTTCGTGGATGCCTCTATTGGTTTGGGGATATATGAGAATATATAGGCGAAAGAATTAGGTTAGGAGGTGCACGAGGGGCCCACAAGGGTGGGGGGCGAGCCCTACCCCCTAGGCGCGCCCTCCGTCCTTGTGGCCGCCTCGTGGCTCTTCCGACTTCATCTCCAAGTCTCCTGGTTGTCTTCTGGTCCAAGAAAAATCATCGCGAAGGTTTCATTCCGTTTGAACTCCGTTTGGTACCCCTTTTCTGCAAAACTCAAAAACAGGGGGAAAACAGGAACTGACACTAGGCTCTAGGTTAATAGGTTAGTCCCAAAAATAATATAAAATAGCATATTAATGCATATAGATCATCCAAAACAGATAATATAATAGCATGGAACAATCAACAATTATAGATACGTTGGAGACATATCAAGCATCCCCAAGCTTAATTCATGCTCGTCCTCGAGTAGGTAAATGATAAAAATATAATTTTGATGCGAAATGCTACCTAACATATTTATCCATGTAATTTTCTTTATTGTGGCATGAATATTTAGGTCCATAATATTCAAAACAAAAGTTTAATATTGACATAGAAATAATAATACTTCAAGCATACTAACAAGGCAATTATGTCTTGTAAAAATAACATGGCCAAAGAAAGCTTATCCCTACAAAATCATATAGTCTGGCAATGCTCCATCTTCATCACACAAAATATTCAAATCATGCACAACCCCGGTTTCAGCCAAGCAATTGTTTCATACTTTAGTATTTTCAAACTTTTTTAACTTTCACGCAATACGTGAGCGTCAGCCATGGACATATCACTATAGGTACAATGGTGGTTGTGGAGAAGAAAAAAAAGAGGGAGAAAGTCTCACATCAACTAGGCGTATAACCGGGCTATGGAGATGCCCATCAATAGATATCAATGTGAGTGAGTAGGGATTGCCATGCAACGGATGCACTAGAGTTATAAGTTTATGAAAGCTAAAAAAGAAAAACTAAGTGGGTGTGCATCCAACTTGCTTGCTCATGAAGACCTAGGTTAATTTGAGGAAGCCCATCATTGGAATGTACAAGCCAAGTTCTATAATGAAAAATTCCCACTAGTATATGAAAGTGACAAAATAGGAGACTCTCTATCATGAAGATCATGGTTCTACTTTGAAGCACAAGTGTAGAAAAAGGATAGTAACATTGCCCCTTCTCTCTTTTTCTCTCATTTTTTTTCTTCGTTGGCTTCTTTGGCCTCTTTTTTTATTTGGCTTCTTTGGCCTCTTTTCTTTATTTCCTCACATAGGACAAAGCTCTAATAATGATGATCATCACACTTCTATTTACTTACAACTCAAGAATTACAACTCGATACTTAGAACAAAATATGACTCTATTGAATGCCTCTGGCGGTGTACCGAGATGTGCAATGAATCAAGAGTGACATGTATGAAAGAATTATGAAAGGTGGCTTTGCCACAAATACGATGTCAACTACATGATCATGCAAATCAATATGACAATGACGAAACGTGTCATAAAAAATAGAACGGTGGGAAGTTACATGGCAATATATCTCGGAATGGCTATGGAAATGCCATAATAGGTAGGTATGGTGGCTGTTTTGAGGAAGATATATGGTGGGTGTATGGTACCGGCGAAAGTTGTGCGGCACAAGAGAGGCTAGCAATGGTGGAAGGGTGAGAGTGCGTATAATCCATGGACTCAACATTAGTCATAAAGAACTCACATACTTAT